GCTGGCGGTGCGGATACAAAAAAGCGCAGTTACCGCTGTGAGGCACCGAGGACAGGGCGCCTCAGCACCCCCGCGCAAAACGCAGCCCTCAAAGACGTGTTTAAGCTCGCTTAGAAATTAGCTCCTACAGACGGAAAGCAGTGGGGAGCTGGAGCTTTATTTCTGTGAAGACAGGCCAAATAACCGGCAGACCAAGATGGTGTGGGCCCCAAGTCTTACAACTTGTAAACCGAGAGAGCAGGCTGCGGAGGGAACGCTGAGGGAAACCACGCTCGTCTTTTACGCGAGCAAACCTGGAGGAAGGCTCCTGCTGGTCAGTCATCGAGGAGGTAACTGAAGAGCTCAAAACCGTGCTGGTCCCCCTCACCAGGATCTGCGCGGCAGCATGGATTTGCCCAGAAGCTCCTGGGGGCCACCGAGGCAGCAGATGCATCTTCACCTGTCTGGCTTCACACCACCAGTGGATCAGGGAGCTACAGCCTGCTCCGTTTTGCTACCAGAACGTCCTCCAGCGAGATAGCAAACCTTGACCTTAGGAAAACCGTAACTGTCTGTACCAGAATTTCTGTCCAGCTCACTGTGATTAATATACCTCAGTCTGTGAGGAAGGATTATCGATACCATTAATAGCACACTTTGAAAGGGAGGTTACTTTTTCAGACTATCCAAAAGTAATCTATAGGCCCCAGAAGTAGGCTGAAAATTATTTTAGTTCTCCCAACACTATGTCATGGGAACACTGCCAACAAAATAACTTACGGAGTAGCATTTTCCCTGGAGAGCTCACATGTAAGTGCCTAACAAGCTGAAGACTCTTAAAGTAATCATCTTATCAGACCTTACTATGTCATCCTGCGCCCTTAAAGAAAGGCAAAAATAGACTGTTGGAGGATTTGTGGTGAAACCACTCCTGTTCTCATGGACTTGCACCCGTGCCTAGGTGAATTGTTTCCTGCATACTGGGAAGAGGAACACGTTAAGAATAAACTATAAGAATCTGAAGGGGTCAAATCATAAATCTTTAGCGTTTGTTCTCTGGATAAACAAGCATGGTGGAGAAACTGATTGAAAACTGATTTGTTAAGTGGTACAAGCAGAAAGACATTCAGGAAGATGGAATGAAAATATCTCAGGGAACATCTGGCAAATTAAACAATTTCGATTAGGTTTACAAGAAAACAAGGAAATCCGTGCCAGATTGATGAGAGAAGCATTTAAAAATCACTTGGAATCCTGATGGCTTCTCAAATAACCCATCTACCCAGAACAACATGATTCTTAGAGCAGTTGGTACCTTGCAGAGGTTTAAGTTATTAATTTCACTTTTGTTTTTCCCCAAGGATCCATTCTACTTAAGTATACAGAAACTAAAACATTTAAGAAAAAGCCAGATACTTGCAAGAGTTTGTAGGTACAGCTAAAGAGGCTATCACCAAAGATAAAGGTTCATTATCACTGATGTGTTTGGTTAAGCTCTCAAGAGTCAAATAAGAGAAAAGTAAGAACATTCCTCACTGGGACCTGCTTCCCCCCCCCCCCTTTTTTTTTAAGAATTTTAAAAATGCACTTATAAAACCACAGTAAATATTGTTCAGCTACTGCAACAAACCAAACATAACAGAGTACCTGACTTTTCCTTTGTTATTTTTAAAATGCACTGGCTTCTTCCTCACTAATAATGACTGTTTTGGCATTTGTCAATCCAATTGGAAAATGTGCATAAAAAAGGAAGATTAGGTAGATTAAAATATAAGTGAATGACTATAGGAAGTTTCAGGCATATTTACTGGTCATATCCTAAAATGAACTGATTTAAAAAAAAAACAACAAAACAAAACACTAAAAACTTGGCCAAATCTAATTTATTGTGGACATGTGACCAGAGCCTCTAGTATCCCATATGCCAGGGCAAAAAGTATTGACCCTTGCTGGAGACACGATACTAGATAGTGGATTGTTAGACAGACCTACTATGGTAATTTCTACATTGCCATAACTTAAAAACAGATGCAGCAACAACTAAGTGCACCAACACAGATCTTAAAAAAAGCTTAAATACCTCTGTGTAATAAAATGTAGGAAGAACTAACAGCACGGATGGTCTATAATTAGTATAACCACACTTTGTAATATGCTTTCCTTCTAATTCGCCAGCAGAAGGAATGTAATCTTCCTAGCAGTTTTAAGCTTTATAGCAGTAATTATATATTTTGTGTGAAGTGTCAAAACCCACAACTTAAAAAAAAATGCAAAGTTCTTGATGGATTAAAAGAGATAAGATTAGGATGTTGAAACCTTAATCTCTTCATTATCATCGACATTTCTAGCACATTATAGGAACAGGTCAAAATCCTTGGGGATATAACATCACCTGCCCAGAATACCATGTGCCATAATAGCCGTTATTGCACAAGACACACATGCTTTTTCATCTGTGTTCTTAGAGTATCTAACTCTTCAAGTTTGGGTTTTCATACCATTTTACCTTTCTTTATTTTTACTCCATTTAAAATTATATATCCAAAACTATAATTAACACGTATGAGCAATATAAAGTTATAGTAATACCCAGTAATAAAGTGAGGGTAAGTCTCTGAATGCAAAACCGGTTCTTGCATGATCTGTTAAGTTTTTAAGTACATACATAATGACATCTAAACATACTATCAACTGGTTGCATAATACATAATTTATATCAGAATTCATCTGATTATAGGAGTAGTCTAGCTGACTATAAAAAAGGGAAAAAATTATGGTTCAATAATCTGGATATTGGTCAATTTGTACAGTTGCATACTTGTTTTAAGGAACATGTAACAACAGTCTTCTGGGCTTTGTGTGTTTTGGGAATGACTGTCAAACATATTCACAGGTCATCTTTTCCCAGATGGTAGCAAAAACAGTTTAGGAACTTTTCTATCCTACTGCTCCATGTACTACAATTCAGTTTGAGAGCAATCCTCATAATACATAGCTCAGTATAAATATTCATTTATTGAATCGCATGGGAAAGTGTTCTGGTTTTATTTTTTTATGCTCAAGAAGTGGCATTTCTCACTCACAATTAGGCAGCTTATAATATAAATTTTGTCCAAAAATAAATTTTTTTTTTGTGTTTAGAATAAAAATGTGCAAGTATTCTTCATTTGAAGTATCTTGTAGAGATTTCTCCTAACCTTTCTATAATGTGTTTTTAGAAGGAAGTGAGTGCTAAATGACTAATTAATTTCATTTCTTATTTCAAACAGAAGTAAAAACAGAAGAAAGTGTTTTCTGGGGAATTATCCTGGTTTATATTTAGTCTGGATTGAACTATTTCAGTGTGCAGTCATACATACACCATTCTACCTGGCCTGATCTTCATTGTGAGCCGCTTAGTGTTACCGCAGTTACAGAAAGCAACATGCATCAAAGAACCTCTGATGAAAGACACCGGACAAAGATTTTATGTCTGACTGGTTCAATGTGAAACCAAAAAAGTCAAGTAAGGAAAAACACATCCCATAAAAATGTACAAATAAGTCACTGTATTCTAGCCAACAAAGAAGCTGAGAGAATATACTTGATAACTTCCCTGGGCACATGACGACAGTGGATGCTAGTTTTAGTTGACTTCAGAATTTACAATGAGTCACCTGGAAATCACGTCAGCCACAGAGTCCTCCTCAACCCACTGCATAGGGGATTTACTTTCTAGCTGTACTAGTACCAGAAGCCTATTTTCTGAAAATAGGTTTTTGCTTTCTAGTTGCACTGAAGTAAATGAGCTTCTCAGGCATAGTTAAGTCAAAGCGACCCTTCCCCTTGGTTTGGCTGAGGTTTTTTGGGGGTCTTATACCTGTTCTTCATTGATACCCAGGACTGCCCTTCCCAAGAACCACAAACAGGAAATGTAGGATCTTTAACTATACATCTGTCGTAAATAACAAACAAGCAATAACCTGAAAGTGTATGGAAAACACATATGAGCCAGAGGTATGCACATCAGAACTATTATACAAATCAACTGAACCTGTCCCAAAGCAAACATTAAAATATTTAGTAAGAATATAGAAAGATGGGTGTTTCTTTTTCCTGAAATAACATTTTTAGATCACTTGAAGACTACAACCTGTGAAGTACAGATAATCTGCTTTCATTAGCTCATTTTAAAAGACAAAAAACCAAAGAACAATTTTGGTAGTTTAAGCCAGATTTACAAATTCAGGATTTTCAGTACGATACAGAATTCTGCATGTATGTGCTTTCTATATTTCACCATCATGACAACTAATAGAGAGTTAATGTCAAGCAAACATTATTTCAGGGTACAAAGATGCTTTGCTATGCCATTGTTAATGAAACATATTTAATCCTTGTTTTTAATTTTCTTACTATTTTTCTTCGCTTTCTTTTAGTGAGCCTGTCTTGACTATTTCTGTGCTTCCAGACAGCTGTCATCCCATACTGGCACCTCCCTGGTTCTGAACATGTAATTTAGAGGTTTGGTATTTGTACATGTAGTATACTGTTCATCTTTCTAGATGAGAAAGATTTCATCTTATCCCCCATAAAGGCTGTGAGAAACCATATAAAGAGGACAGTACAAATAATCTTTATCCATTATGATTTATTCTCTACAATACTTCATTAGAGGATAGAGTTCAATTATTTACACTCAGAAGTTATTATATAGGTAGGAGGCAACCAAGTGTAATACAAAGAATTGGTCTGACATCTCTGCACTGAAGGTCAAAAGAGGTCTCCTGCTTTAAGGAAATAAATTAACCAAAAAACCCAACAAAACAACATGTAGTTTCCAGAATACAAACATAAAACAGCACTAATAATCAGTGAAGATTGCAGATGTTTGTTAATGTACTATGAAAACAAATTATTCTGTGCAAAGGTTAAAATGAACTCTTAGATTTTCTTACAGATTTTTTTTTTGTTCTGATAAATTGTAGATATGTGATATTTTGACGATAAAACCTTCCCAAACTGAAATGGCCTCAGTTGAGACTGACTGTTGAACATTATGAAAAAAAAAAAAAAATTAAGAACCTCACAGTGGAAACATTCCAACACTGACAGACTCCAGTGATCAAAGACATTCTCCTGTAGTAACTGTAAAACAAAGACAACTCATAATTGCAGTGAGATTATTTCTCAGTTGTGGTTGTCATGAGAATAAGCCCTTCTAGACCAAAAGGCACTTGCTTCTAAGGATGAGTTAAATCCAGATCAAACCAGGTAACAGTTGCTTTGAGAAGTAGTTCTAACCTGCTGTCCCAGCCAAGTAACCACGGAGAAATTCTTACATCAGTTGGTCATTGATTTTGGTTGCCTCCATCTTGAGGCAACTCAAAGTACATTTTGTTTCTAGTTCACCTCTTTCATCCTTATGCATAGCTGCCATGTAATGATCTAGAAATGGGATTATTTCCTGAGACCACCTGTCCTCGTCATACATTTTTCTTAACTAACTTAACTATTGACACACTTTTGAACTGATTTTATAGCTGGACCCTTATGGGACTAAAGCTGAGAGGGCCTGTTTCTTAGGCAGCAGACCAGTGTTTCTGATTTGCTAGCTTCTCTTCTCACTGCAACAAGACAAGAACACAGTAGATATTTAGAGGCATTTGTTTGTTTGTTTGTTTGTTTTTTAGACAGACTGAGTGGGGAAATGGAAATGGGAGAGGATACGGCTTCCCCAGTCCCAAACCATCTAGCCCACTTCAGCCTTAAACCAACCAAGTCACTCAATCCTCAAATTCTGTTCTTTAAAAATGACAGCTAACCCTCCCCACCCCACCCCTTAGTCATCCCCTATTCAAATAAAATGAAATCAGGAAAACACTATACACTGTTGAAGACACAGAACAGGGCAAATATTTGAAAAAGAAACAATATTGTTGAAAAGCCTGGCACTGTATGCCTGCATGACCAGTCTCACTGAGCGTGCTCAGGGGTGAAGTTTTAGCACCATTTTTTTGCTTTTTTTAAACCTTTTAGAAATTAAATTCTAACATAGAACACTTGAACAGTAATGAGTGTAGCCCTATGTATCATACTGTTTGACAGCTGAAAGGTGAATGGTCTGTCCAGAGCTGACCCCACCCTCCCCCATCACTACACGGCACCTGGGAGAGTAATTACAAACCACTCGAGTTTGTAACAAGACCGGTTTATTCTCAGCAGCAGGAAATCATGAAACAATCCCTTAATCTTCAATTGCTTTTCAACAACATCACAAGGGAAAAGTGGCAATTTATAAGAATGACCCGGTACAGGAGGAAAGCTGGGTCGATATTGCACCGTTATCCAGAATAGGACCCCCTCCTTTCCCTCACGTCTCTCTCCTCCAGCAGGAGGACGTTACACCAACATGAAGCGAAACTGCACGATTCTGTTTGCTTCTCTAGGACCGGAAGGAGCAGCAGCATGCAGTTCTGAGCTTTCTACCAGCCCTATTCCCTGCCATGCCAGGAGAGAATTTCAGGCTTGAAACCCCAGCCCATTTTAAAAGCCATCATTACCACACACAAGCAAACTTGAAAGATATGTGCAACCAAACAGCCATTACTGTGCTATGCCCTTGTATTTTCTTTCCTGATCATCATTGACCCTCCAGAAATTTGGAAAACAAAACAAACCCAAAATTATATTTTGAAGTCCAGTGACGTCATTGAGAGAGTATCATAATTTAGAGTCGATGACATCCCTCAGTGACGCTGCAGAGTAACAACTGGATAACTTATCTTCCTCTTAGATGAGGGTATTTCTTGTAATCATCAATGATGGGAGAAGAAATACAGAATGCACAAGTTTCACACAGTTTGGGTAACACAGGTTTCCCCACTCACTGCCTTGATGTGGTAATGACTAAACTGTATAAGATAATAACTTACCAGTGAAACTACATAGCTCTATTCCATAGGCCTGCTATAAACTGGAATACTCACAGTTCTCAAGATCAATAGTCACACCAGAGAAAGTGGCTGTCCTATCAAAAGGAAGGTCCCCGAGACTGTTAGCTTAAGTTAAACAAATTTCAGTCACTAGTCTCACTTGTATGACTACAGTCAATGTCCTGCAAATCCCTCCCCATCCCTAATCCAATTGGGCTCCATTACAAATGTTTGGACACAAAACTTGGTCGGAACAGAGAAAACCGTCCAGGGACACTCAAGTACCTTGTCCTTCGCATACACGGCATGTGCCTTGTTGCTCTCTTACAGGCGTAACAGCATTCTACTTCATAGCAGGCTACATTACAAAGCACTGTCTAAAAACCCAGAAAACGGTAAACCAAGAGGATTTCTAGAGACTCCAACCTACAGTAGCATCTGATAATTAAAGCCTTCTAGGGTTTATTTAAATAATGGATTCATCTGCAATACCATCCAAAGGTTTTTCACATCTTTAAGTGTTTTCTGTCCGTGAGGATGGGGTGCTATCCAGATGTTAAGCCCTCCCCAATATCATAATGTCCGCCTGTGATGTGTGGGGACTGCAATCAGCTCTTGGTACACAACAGATACCAGAGGTTAAAAAAAATTAAAAAGAACCTAAAAAATGTTTTGTTGGACTCCGTTGCCCAGGCTGCCAGGGGAATGCTCCTACTTGATCTGGGGGGCTTCCATAACAAACAACTCAAGTTTCCGGAGTGTTGGTAACACACAAGAACGGATCAGTCCGAAGTGGCACTTTCACTCCTAGAGGTCTTCTGCACCTCACAACAGTTCGTAGGCATGGAGCCCCAATCCAACTGAACCCCCGTTCGGAGGGAAGGCTGAGATAAGGCTTGGGCCCCTGAAGTTCTGTCATGCTCTCATCCTCCCCCCAGGTCAGCTGGAAGGCAGACTTGGCAACGGAAGCTAGCATCATAAAATGGTGCAGTAATAGAAGTAACTGGACCAGGAAGAGGAGGCATCTGCCCCAATGATGTCGTAGCCATTGGCAGCAACTGGGGAGTGGGACTGGTCATGCAGCCGTGTGTCAGGAGTAATGATTGTAGAGGGGGGGGGCATGAAGGGTGCCATTCTGGAAACAATGCTGACGGGAAGCCATGTATTCTGCATAACTGATTGTCACCTTCTCACTGCGGTACCTATGGGAACAGCGTAAGAAAAAAAAATAACGTGAACAGACTATGCAATATGAAGGGACGAGACAGAAGCATTCATCGCAGATCACCTTTTAGCTAACAGCCAATAATGACCAAGAGGAACCCGCTAACTTCAAAAACTACTTTGATATTGCCTCATGCAGTAGTCTGAATAACCCATCTAAGCTTGAATTAGCTTTGATGTCCCAAAAGTTGAGCCCCATTCAAGGCAATCATAATTAAGGGGACTCCTGAAGTAGCACACGGGAAACAAATGATCAATTTGTATTCTTTTTCCACTTGCTGTGGAAAAAAAAAAAAAAGGCATGAAAAGTTTGCTGGAAGAAGAGTCAGTTTCAGAGACTAAATAACCAGTATTTCATTATTATTTACCTTTGTGGTTATCTTCACATTTGAAAAGCTAGTGAAAGACAATGATGGAGAGTCGGGTAAAGGGAGGTTTATTATAGCAAAATTGTGACTTAGCCCACGTTGTACAATCAGAGTTCACAAAATGTGAAGTGCCTTCTGAGAGACCAGAGATCTCCAGGTGCTTCTAAAGCATGCTACACAACAGATGACTTCAAAGTGGTTGTGAATTGCACACTAAGTCCATGTTACACCAGATTTTAATGAAAACCTTCATCCTGTCCTCTTTGTTAAAAAAAACCCTGCATACCCACCTCATTTCTCCAGAGGTAAGGAACGACCTGATAAATTAGTGTTTCTATACAAAACCAGAATGTCCCAATTTTGACTAACATAAAGGGAGCTGAAACCAATAGGACAGCTGGGGGTATAGAAAAGCAAGCAAATTCTGAAAACCAGCCAAATTGAGTGTGGTTTGGTTTTAAGACAGCTGTCACCTCCCAATAGCTACACCATCCACAGATGAGCACACTGAGAAAAGGAAGTTCATTGTAAAGATACAGAAAAATCAACCTTTTTAACTTTCAAAGGTTCTGCTTCTTTTGGTGTTTCATGTGGATAATAATATTAAAAACAGTGACACTTCTCTTAGAAAATGCTGACTTCGATCCTGCATAGACCGAACAAATTGCACTTCATTCCATATACATTATATGGGTAACACGTGGCATTTATGATTTTGTCTTTCAGACTACATCTCTCATCTGAAAGACACATGAAGACTTACTTCAAGCACAAATACTTTAAATTACCCACAAAACACTATAAAGTAAAATTATAAGATGACAAAGATTGACTCACCTGGTGAGTTTAATTGTTTTCCTAAAATCATTGGTAATTGGAGCCTTAAAGCCACCTTTCCTGAGTAAGGAGTCTATGGTCTGGATCTGATCCCAGTCTATTGAAAAAATAGAAGCAAAGGAAATATTTCAATATAAAAATGATGTTTCAAAAAGATAAGAGATGCATTAAAAGGCCTCTAGAAAAGCAAACCAACTAAAGAGGAAACTTTGAGCTTTAGAAATGCCAGTGTTGAACTGGACATACATGGTCTTATGCATGCACACTATCTGCACATGCCAACCCCTTTTAACCGATATTGGAACTGCAATGGTCTATAAAATAGTAATTCCATTTTCCATATGATTTCTCTTCTTACAAAGGTCTGTGCCTTGCTTCTGTTGCAGGGACCCCAAACTGTTTTATCACGTGCCACTCAAGTTGAGCTCTCTAAGCCTTAAAATAAGATAATACTTAGCTCTTTACATAGACAAATGGGGATCAACCTGATGCTCTAGTGATAGCACAGTGCACTGCTATGTGAGAGATCAGAGTTAAAATTCCTACCTTAGTCTTTTGCCCCAGAGCCAGGAGGATGCGACCACTCCACTCTGCTAGGTGGAGGAAAGGAGGCAATATTTTGAGCAGTTACCATGGTGACCGCTACTATATTTGAGTGGGAAGTGTGCTCCAGAGGGGCCCTGTTTCCTGCCCTCATCTGGAGGATGCTACTTTAGCAAGAATGAGGAGGAAAGGGACTCTCCTGTTGGTGCTGTGCAGCCTGCAGTTATCCTAGTTGGTGGGAGAAACATAGAAGAGGAAAGATGCAACGCTGAATGAAGCTGGAAGATCCATACTTTGAGATCCTCTATTTCTTAAGCCCTAAAACATTTTTACACTAAGATACAGCTGTGCACAGATGTGGGATGAGAGAAAGGCTAGATGAAAACCCAGCAGCAGCTGTATCAGGTGTCAGTTATCCAGATTAAGCCTGGTGGCTCCATGGCACTACTATGAGGATAGCATTGCAATCCAAGCCCAAAATCCATAGATTTATGTTACCCAATTCTGTGACACAATGTGTTGACAAGTTTGGCTGCCATCTCAAACCCACCTTGTTCCTTAGCAACCTCAGGTAAATACGTGGCTGTGCGTTTGACACCTTTCTCATTGATGAACTCTATTCTGATCCCATGGATCCCAACCTATAGATGGAAATGAATAGCCAGATAAGAGGTGTTTGCTAGCACTGAGTCCGTGATCGAGTTGTCATTCCCACAACGCTGTGTATCTCTCTCTCTATGGCCAGTTTGGCTTTTGCCTGGATAAGGACATTCTCTTCCCTGCTCTCTGTCCTTGCCAGGCAGGTCTCACAAGTAGCTCACTGCCACCTTTCCCAGACGAGCCTAACCAGTCTCCCTGCCACCTCTCCTGAAGTAAGTCTTGTCAGCAGTCTGACAGTTTTTCATCTCTTATGGTGGGCAAGAAAGACAAGATCTCTACACAAGAGTCACATCTAAAATAGCCCAACCACAAAGTCTATTTAATCTTTCTTGAACTAAATGCATTTCCACATACAAGGTCCTAAAAATGATTAATACCTTCGGTCTTAACTACTTTTTGTTCCCAGTTTCTATTCACAGCATCAAAATACTTCCCAGGTTTTTACGTATGTATTCACACCCATCTCCTACTGGGCCAAAGCCATAAAACACTTTCATGTCTCTCATTCCCATTCAGATTCCCTCCCAACAAAAAGCATACTGCTAGCCCATCCTCTTCCTCCCTTCTAGTTTTCCAGCCCCATTTCTTCTGTTCCCAGTTTCAATGCCCGTACACCCCTGTAACAAAGGAGACACATCACCATGTACTAACCCGAACCCGAACGGAACGAGAGAGTGATGCAGAGTTCCAAATGCACCTGTTCTCACCTCCCAGTCCAGGTAGTCACTGGCATCCTCAAAGTTAGTGAGGAGGGAGACAGAGCAGAAGAGTTTGGGCAGCTCCTCGCGGGTCAGGGGGGGAAATCGGCTGTCCTTAAGTGCACTAAAGGAAAGAAAAGATACATTGCCTAATACAAGCATCGAATTGAAGTGTCAGATGCTCAATTATTCCCTTTTCGATTATGCCTCTGTGAAACACGTTTGTCTTTGCTACTGCAGAGAAAGTGATTTGCATCTCTTCCTAATCTAATGAACTGTAATATGCAAACACTAGTGCAAGCTTCCTGATGCTGTCCTCCACTTACTGCAGTTGGAGAGAAATTATGTGCTACGTAAGATGTCAAAACTGTTAGTATGCAAGACAGAGTTGACGTTAGCCTTAAAGCATCAACCAGAATTCACCTGTTGCAAAGATGTTCCACTAAATCCCGATATATTACCTCACCCTAACTATCATACAATTCTCAGGTTTATTTTATTGCAAAGCATATTAAATTGAACTATGTCGATCCAACATCTTCACCTTGAATCCTTATAGATCTTGAGCAAATTAAACTCATTTCAGATTTATTTCATTTTCAACATACTTACCTGGTTAATGTGTATTCCCTGAGTCCTGAGTGAAGATTCATGGCTGAAAAGGTCCCGATGCAGCCACGAAGCCGCTTGTCTCGCCCCGTCTTCCACGTCACAAAGAGCGGACTGAAAAGGCAAAAAAGAGAAATACTCCAGCCTCTAGAGATATTTGGTTGCTAGGGGGAGACCAACAAGGTGTGAAAGAGCATGTATGCACGCACTTGCTTTCTTTCCCCCTAATCGACCCCAATAGGCATGTTTTCTCACCTGCTATCTAGCAATAATAAAGCCCCACATCCACACACCCCCAAATGCAAAAAACAGCATCTCCCCCCACCTTTTCGGCATACTCCTTCCTCTCCACCAGTACTCTGTAAGCTCTCCACCAGCACCTTCCTGGCCAGACTCTGCAGAGTCTTCTGATGAGTAATATGGTTATTTGATCCCACTGATTACCTCTGTGAGTAATGGCTTCACTTAGTAGCATCCACTAGTTTACATGACAACCCATATCAAAATTAATATAGGTGAAGCAAATAAGATTACTTATTTATCGTACTGTTGAACCTGAAAGGTCCCCAAACCATCTATAATTCAGGTTTGCAATAAAAGCTTTTCTTTTTTTTTTTAGGCATAAAAAGCAAGCGTAGGGTTTTTTTCCCCTGTTATTTCCATGAGGATTTGAATTCTGGGTCCATCCCTAGTGCTCAAACAGTTCATGTTCACATCTTTTGCTTACCTTACATTTGGTTTATTTCTACACAGATTCTCTCCTGTTGAACATATCTAAATTGCTATATTGTTCCTACTCACACATCACACAGATTTCCACCTTCCTGTCTACCATCATGAATGTACAGGTGTAACAATAGATTCTCAAATTCAGCAGGCTTATTTCAATCTGTTAAACTAGAAGCCATGATTAAGGCCCAAAAAGCAAGAAGTTCAGAACAACAGTATTCAGAAGAGCTCTAGGAAGAGGTAAACAGGTAAAGATGACTGTAAATATTAAATGCAAAAAGTTCACTTCTACAGAAGTGAGTGAAGTTGCAAACAACTGTAGAGAGAAACAGTAAAGAAAGGACAATCGTGGCCGCAGCCATACAAGAATGTCCAAACATCTGGAAAATTCTGCAAGGCAACTGTTGATGCTGATCTAATTATAAAAACAGGATGACTGATCTCACTTTTTCAGCTTCCATAGTACTGAATACAAGATGCGGTCACTTTGAACCCAAGCGTAAATGAGAAAGTTAGTCATCAGTGATTCCACACATCAGTCTATGGATTTCTATTGAACTTTAAAAGATAAGTAACATGATGGAAAACATGCAGTGTTAAGAAAATAATTTTCTGAAACTAAACAAACACTGGCAGGAGTTCTAAAGCATGAAAACAGAATAACTGATTGTACATCAGAGCACAGACACTTACTTTCCTCAAACCCTTGAAGCTCTTGTAAGCAATATATTTTTGCAACAAACATTACAAAAAAAAATATGAAGGGATTCTGTTCAGACAACAAAACCAGCATGGAGCGTGGATCATTTCTCAAATACAGGCAACAGAGCTTCTTATGACTAAAGCAGTTAGAACATAATTTAAACTGTAGTGATAGAGCAATGCCCAGTGATGTTCCTCAGAGCAACAATGGAATTAAAAAACCTCTATCACAGCATAAATCCATCCTTCAGGATCTAGTTACCAGCTGTGACCAACAGCAGAAGCACTACCCAAAATAGCAAATAGCCCGTAAGTGATAATTGTGAAGCACTTTGCCCACAGAGGAAGCGGAAACATTCTTCCACAACCAGCAGCCACCTTACGGTTGCTTGACCAAGACAGAGGATTTACTGTTCTAGTTTTCCAACAACACTTCAGGGCACTTGCAGGATATCATTCCTCTACGCTTTCATCTAGCTACCATATGTTGAAACGGAAAACAGAAACAGAGCATAAGAAAACACATTAGAAAGCTTACCAAAAAAAGATACTACACTTACAAAGGAGATTTCTGAGAAACATTACTGTCACGAGCTCAGTGGAAATTTAGCTTAATCGAAGTTTGAAGCCATTACTTAGCCCATGTGACACTCACCCCGAACAGAAACAGGAAGGGAGAAAATGAAAAGCATCACTGACAGAATACAAATCTAAGTTCCTTCTCTTCTTGGATTCAAATTACAGGTTCACATTTCCAATTCACCTCTTTCCCCTTCCAAAAAAAAAAACCAAACCAAAAACAGAAAAACCAAAACAAAACAAAAACAAACCACCAACCAAACATTTCCACTGAGCTGACACGGCTTTCTGCATCTATAACAGAAGAGGTATTACTGGAAAGGACACAATAATTACATTCAGAAGGCTGTCATATTTTAAAAGATCTTAAAGCACATTTTTAACAATTTTTCACGGTGGTCATAACAACTGAGGCATAAAAAAAGTTTTGTACAAGTATATAAAATTTCACTATTACAGTTTTTCACTGCAGAAAAGACATTGTTTCTATATCTGAAGAATAAATGCATTAGCAAACCGCAGGTGCAGCTGACAATAAGCCAATTGTTCACAGCCCCTCCCTGAAAAGTGTGTTTCCCAGATGTACTGAGAAAAGTCATGACAATCTTTGCCCATGTTCACCCAAGAGCACTTACCAGTACTTTGCGCTTATATCCTGAGCAGATGATGGCAACCGTTTCTCCCCCAGCCACAACATCCTACTTAGGTGTGTTTGATGAGGGTTGGCTAGGCTGAGGGGAGGGCAGCTTCAGCAACTAAAAACTAGGTTCTCCAATTGCAACTACAAAGGGAATTTTAAAGTAGCAAAATACAGTTTGTTCAAATCAGAATTTAGCTCGTACTAGGAAAAAAAAATGTTACAGTACAGATTTTATGATGCAAGTATCTCATTATTTGTCTTGCATGGCAACTGGAAACTTGCATGGTGTAGTTTTAGTACCCGTATGTAATACCTACTATTAAAAAAATCAGCCTGCTATACAGGTTCAAAATTGTCATTTTTTCAGTAACCTGAACTACAAAGGGGGTATTTTCTTCATTTACGTTAGTTCAGACATAACTACGAGTGTTGCAATGCCACCTTCTCTACATTGATTTGTGAAAGTCACTGCTAACATGTATATAAGGTTCCCTTAGTCCGTAGGTATCTAGCAGCTCCATAATTCCCATCAAGATTATTGTCCGTGTGCATATCCTCTCATGCTGGTAATTGGAATTCATGGTAGTTTTCAAGTCACAACCCTGTAACTTTTATGTTATTACCCTGTTTATGCAGAATCCTGACCTTCACGACTACTTCTATCGTTGTATTAGGGTTCAGCACCAATATAAAAGATCTGTTTTCTGAGAAATAGGTCAGGACAAACCTGTGCATCTTTCTATCCCTTCCACCAACAGCCTCTTTTCTGTCTGTCCAGAGAGACTTCTGGTATATACCTTTGTTTTGTTCAAAGATCTCTTACATTGGCATTAATTATGTTACAAAGGACAACAATGCAAATTATTTGTGTATTTTCACTTTGCTTACTCTCATATTTGATAACATTTGGCTTGAAGTTCATTACATTACTGTCTCAAGTGTGACAGTTCACACTTGGGTGCTGCCCTACAAGACAGCAAACCCCATGCTTTTCCCTGAGGTAGGGACAACTATTTGCTAGAAGCAACAGCGTAAATGCGGAAACACAAGAAAATTCAGGTAGGCATTTGCCCGGAGGGGAAGAAAAGAGAAGAGCTGGTTTTGCTTTGGAGTGCTGATCTAAAAGACTTTTAAATTATCAGCACAGAAATGCCCAGTGAACGATTTTTCACTTTTCAAATTTGGGCATAAAATTCAAACAGCTGAGATTCCTGAAAGAACGCCCTTTTTGAAACTAGTCAACAGGAACAGCAACAAAATCCAGCTAGAAATCTCCTTTAACACCAAAATAATGAATCTGTATAAAACAATCTCTCTTGCTGACTTAAGAACAGAACAACAACAAAAAACACGCTTTGCATGTCAAGTAACAAAATAATAAGCAGATTAATGTATAATTTCCTAAAAGGAGCCTACATAGCTTAGGCATGAAAAACAACAAGGAATATTTCAGTTTGAGGGGGTCCCTGGAACTATTCTGTATTCTAGTCCAGAGTATTTCTCCGTTCACTTATATATACAATATTAAACAGCTTAGTCTGTGGTAGCATTCAGAACATGCATCCATAATCCTGCTTGGATAATAACTGCATGGATGCACAACCTACATCTACACTGACAGCCAATAAGGTGGGGAGACATTCAATACACGGAAAAAGTCCTTGACCTGTTTAAGCCATTGTTCCTTTACATCAATTTAAAATTCATTAACTTAAATTACAGATGTCAACAACTTTTTATTTTATCTGTTGTTCTGGAGGTGGCCCCTGGAGGAGTGTCAGAAGGTGTACCTGTCATTGATCTTTCCCATATAATTCTTCCACCAAACATTTTAACAACATTAACATTTCCACACCTACGCATTCAACCTTCAGATAAACATTAGCTAAATCTCACCAAAGCGAAATACCTTCATAAATCCTCCTCCTCACTTCTTCTCATACACACCTCCTTTCTTCTTAACCTTGGTATCGTCCTTGAAAGTTAACTCTCCATTTCTCCCCACGTTGCCCGACTAGCACTGTCTTCATAACACAGTTTTTCAGTTCTGCAACTGGCAAATTTTTGCTTCCCCTCCCTGCTAAACCCATTACCTTGGACAACTCAACACCCTTGTGAGTGTCCTTGTCCAGTTCTCACCAGCTCAGCATTTGTTTCAGGATGAGCTGGGAACTTGTTTCAACTTCTTACTTTATTCCCTTCCACTTGCTCCACAGAAGGAACTCTCTCCCCTTGTCCCTTCAACCAAGTTAGTGCCCGACATTAGCAGCAACATCCTCTTCAAATTAATGACATTATTTTACTGTTTTCTGAAAACTCTAATTTCAGTTTCACTCATTCTTTTAGTACAATTTTATGGGAGGCACAGCGCAGTTAATTTTCTGCAGAGGAATCTATTTACAAAGAAGGGAGCAAACTTTAACAGAGTGTTATTATGAAGCCGGGTTGCACTCCTCGATAAAGCATGCAACACCTCACCCAACACCTCAGACTGTGAGCTGAAGAAGCACCACAGTTCCTCCTATTTTGCCTAGCTCTCTTTCTGTAGAGCTAAGCACGTTCTCCCTTGAAGGCCACTCTTCAAAGTGGAGAATCCATTCATCTCCACCAACAAACATAACAGAATATTTTTACTCTTTGGTGCACTTGCAGTGCATCATGTTTTGTTTCTTGTAGGCAAAGCACCAGAACAGCCCCCTTCCTCCCTGCACACCAGTTTTCCCATTTTCCAGAGGAAACCCTTCATCCCTCCCCAACCAAACCCCAGCTCCGGATGCTGGTTTCTCAGCTTTCCTCCCGCACATGGATTTACTCACTAGGGGTCATTGGTAAATCGAGGAAGTCGTGGCTGAGGGAAACCATAGAGATGACAGTAGAGTACATCAAAGCAGTAGCAGCACATCTCCGCTGTCACCACCAGGTTCTTGGTGCTGTTGGCAGTTCCATTGGGCCGAGTAAGTGGGCTCAGAGCTCCTGAAGTGGGATTCATTCGAGTAATTGGGGAATTTCCTGGGCCCAAAGTCAAGTCAGATACGTTCTCCCTTCCATTATTCCCGTCTGTATGCTGGTGGTTCTGAAGAGGACCTGAACTGGAGCCTGGTACAGTTGTGGCCTGATTCCCATGACTGTGCGTTCCACTCCCAGACAATTTGGGCTTCTTTACCCCACAACAGCCAGCTGCCAGCTTGGGCTCAAGTGGAGGAACACAGCGTCTTTTTCCCATCCTGCTTCAAAACTCGCTGCCTGGAGCACTGCAGAACCCTGGCAAGGAGGGCGTGGGGGGTGGGAAAAAAAGCAATACACAAAACAGTTACAGGTGAAAAACCAACAGCTGCTTCCTCACTTCTGCTAAGGTGTCAGAGAGGTTTGCTTTTGCAACAAAAAGAGGAAGAAAACCCTCACAACTGCAATTAAGTACAGAACTAAAACCAGTTCAGCAAGCAGAATGGGTGTTTTTACACATAAATTGAAAGAGCGTATAAACAACATGCATGAAATCACACTTTTAAAGTTATTGGTGAAGTGTACTGAACACTGTAATAGGCAGCTCATTGCAAAAAAACTATAACCAGCCTTACCATAAAGGGAATGAAACTGTGGGAGAACAGGAAAAAAAAAAAAAAAAAAAAAAAAAAAAAAAAAGACACTGGACTACAGATATACCCCATCCACTACTTTTCCAGGTCACCCATTCCCCCTCAGTCACTGCCCGCACCAATGGCAAACAATCTATTGAAAAACGACAAGTGCATTTCCCCTCCCCGTTCTCAACAGAAGAATGACAAGAACTCCAAATGACACCTTCAGGGCTGGACTCCCAGGGGTGCTGCCCCTGATTTAGCGCTACCATAAGCAAGACACAAAGAGAAGCTACCAGCGTTGAACCACCATCTTCTAAACAACAAACTATTTTCCAGACCCCAAGAACTAGCATCTGCATTTACTTTCTAGGATTAAGTAAATCAGTAGTGCTCACACATAAACACGTAGAGTGTAGAGTCAGCATATGCAGGAGAGGAAGAGCTGAAGACCAAGCACAGTCTGAACAGAGGGAAGCAGTAATGGCAGGAAACAGATATGGTATTAAAAAAAACCCAGAACAGTGTTTTGCTTACAGAGAGGAGATGCTAGCTCTTGCATCACAAGAAGGGGTGGAACAAATACAGGGACAAAAAGCCTATGCAGACAAAAATGAACAAAGATGATAGGCAACGATCGCACGTCAACGGTAGGAACTTAAGTTTAAGTGTAATACCATCATCACCATGAGATCTAAACACACAAAGGGAGGGAAAAACAGTTCCCCATCTGTCAAATGGGGCTAAAAGCACAGACGCATAAGTCACAGAGAACACCGTGGAGAACTGGAAGTCACACTCAGCTCTTGTGAGTACCAGGCTACTTCTTTAACCACCAGAGCATCCCTCCAGCTCTTCCAAGTATGTAACCGATGGCTGAACTGACAGCACATTCACAGAACAGGGGGGTGTGATATGTACTGAAATTCATGGTGTGACAACTCCCTTCCTTCTCTGCACATGCAAACAACGTAAACTTTATCCATGAAGTTTCATCAGCCATGGTAAGAGTCGTACGATGCTTGAACAGAACCTGAACTGGTATAAGATGTGTTGAGACGTGTCTCTTGACACAAAACACGTACGCTTGCAGTGCTTACTCTGCTTAGCAATCCTCACCTCAAGGTTTTAGAAAGATAACCTGCATAAGGAACAATTTACAAGACCTAATGAAAATGATCCTTGTTCCTTTGATCTCTACCTTTGTAACAAAAAAAAAAAAGGGAAAAAGAAAAGTATAACTTTGACAAAGTAAATGTAATTTTCTTCAGTGCCTATTGAAAGTTATGCTACCACGGCTCAGTGAAGCTGCTGGGATAGATGAGCCTTTTCAAGTTATCGCTGAAGGCTAGCCGCGTTTAGGGGGAGAAATTATTTATTTGTTTGAAACCATAACTCTTCATTGTAAACTGAGGACGTGGCGGGGGCAGAGGAGCGGTCTTCTCCGTTTATCGCCCTACCCGCCGGGCTCTGCAGCCGCAGAAGGCCTAACAA